AGAGTTGGGGTATGATGAGGTGTTTGCATGGACCCTGAGCCAACGTGAGCCATATCCTAAAAGAAAGGATTGAAAGTGGGCCTCAACCACCTGGGGTAATGCTCAGGGCTGCAGCAAAAGGTTTGAAGGGGCTGCAGGGAATGTTCTCGGAGTTCGGGATGCTGGTATCCAAGGTCAAAGTTATGCTTGCCAACTACTGCTCACCCTGGTGTCCCTCAGCCCATGACCCACCACTGGGCTCTGCCTCCATTGTCACACCCCGCTGTGTGCCCCTGCGCCTTCTCCTTCCTGTCTCCACAGGGACACTTGTACCCGGCTCTCAGGGCCTCCCTTATGCAGGACAATCACCTTGACTCCATCAGCAAAGACCCTGCTTCTCAACGTGGTCACAGCCCAAGGTTCCCGGCAGACACACCTTAGGGGAGCCACCCACGCCCCCTCCGTGAACCCCTAGGGATTAGCTCTTCCCTATGCCAGTGACCATGAAGACCTTCGAGGTCTGGGTTTCAGGGACAATTTCCTGGGAGCCCCGGCTCTGTCCAGAGGCAGGGAAAGGTGGCCCCGTGGAGGGCGGAGGCAGGTAGGGAGACCCAAGAAAGGTTTGAGCAACACACCTAAAACACAGGAAGACAGTGAATCTTATCTCCCACCCACCCCCTGCTCTGTTCCACGCTGTCACTCAATGTACCAGGTCCCAGGGTTTCCAAGGGTAGTGGCTCCTGCACCTCTGACTGTCCCACTCACTTTCATGGCCCTGGCCAGGACTGTGGACCTGTGGGACACTGGGGAAGAGCCCTGCCTCTTGCCAAATGGAGCCCACTAGTCTCTACTGTGCCTCAGGCCAGTTTCATGGGCCACCCACTGACAGGATCCCCAGCTGACAACAGGAGCATGGGCCTTGTTTCAAATCCCAACACCTCGCAGTTGTTAAGCACTTACTGCATGCTCAGCGCCATGCTCCCCGTTTCACCTGATCATTTCCTCCACCCTCCAAACACTCCTAAGTAGGTTGCAAAGACCCAGATGAAGAAACTGAGGCTCTGAGAGGCCTGCCGACTTGCCTCAGGAAGGAGCAGATCTCGGCCTCCAGGCCAGTCCTCTGCCTCCCACAGGTGGCACTGACCCCGGATGAAAAGAGGTCCTGGGCTGATCGTGCTGTCAGGAAGGGAAGCAGGCCCAGCCAGGTCTCCCTCCAGGCTGGGACTCTCCGGATCGCCTCGGAGCCTCCCTCTCCTCTACCAGCTCCTTGTCCTGGGACCCAGGTGCTACCCCCAAAATCAGTCTGGGGAAGTTTCTTTTGAGTCTCAGAGGCTGCTGGAGCCCTGGAAACTTGGAAGAGAAATGCTGTCGCCCCTTAGCTGTAGATGAGGAGGACTAATAGCACCTGTGGTCAAGGCCAAGTTGGAGATATCTCCAGAGGCCACCCTAGCCACCAGCAGGCACCCCTCACCAAGGACCCAACCTCACACGACTGTTGCCAGCCACAGCAGGCTGGACTTCCCCTCAGGACTTCCTGTACACCTCAGTCACCCACCACCCACCACCAGGCGCTGGTGACCACCAGTCCCCTCCATGGTGATGGAGCCCAAGAGGCAGTGGAACCCATAAGGCTTTGTCCCCCAAGGGCCAGAGCATCGTCCTGTCTCCTCCTGGGGTCACACGGTCAGGAAGGGACAGAGCCAGTGTCCCTAACCCCACAGTGCCCTCCCCACGTAACCTGCCACTGGGGTCTCCCCACAGGGCCAGAGAAGCACAGAGCAAGTCTACAGCCAAGGTCATGGTGGAACTTAGCTGGAGCAAAATATGGTAGATTCTCACATCAGGACTTGGTGATCCTGGAAAAGCTGGGGCTTTCTACTGGGGCCAGACATGCTTCACCTCCTCAGAAGGCAGCTTCAGGGCTGCTCTGCCCTTGGGAGGATGCTCCGGAAGCCTCCCCCGAAGCCTGAGGCCTTGTGCTGGGGGAGCCAGAGGTAGCAGCATCAATTTGTCTTCATACACCTGTCACCTGCACTGAGGTCAAGGCCTGTAGCTGCTGATAGATGGAGGACATTTCCAGGAGGATGTGGCAGCTGTCCCCACCCTTCCCAGGAGGCTGCAGGCTCCTCCAGTGGGCTGATGCAAGTATAAATCCAGGCTCTGTGCAGTTGGTCCCTGTACTGTCCCGCTTCTGCCTTCCCAAGGCTGGGACTCTTGCATCTATCAATAATAAACACTTATAAGCTGCGTGTGGTGACACACACCTGTAACCAACCCTTGGGAGGAGGCTGAGGCAGGAGAACTGCCAGGAGTCCAAGGCCAGCCTGGACGACATAGCAAGACCCTGTCTTATAAAGACAAATAATGCTTGTCACAATTATACTTCTTGCACATGGAGCAGACCCACGTGCCACTGCTTGGCCCGTGGGTTACAGAAGATGCCACCGGCCTGGGCCTGCACTCAGCAAGCTCACAGCTGAACGTAATGAAGGAAGCCAGCTCTTGATGCCGTCTGCAGTTCTGCAGGACAAGGGCGCGGATGTGGACACTGACATCTGAGTAGGAATTAGGAAAGCTTTGGGGCAGAGGTAAGATGGTGAAGATTCTGAGGCTGGGGCAGGGCTTGAAGGTTTGAGTGCAAGAAACAGGTTGGGGTGTAGCTGAGGGGTACAGCACCTACCTAGCATGAGCTTGGCCTGGGGTTTGATCCCTAGCAACACACACACATGCATATGCATGGGCGCACGAGAGAACGCGCGCGCGCGCACACACACACACACACACACATACACACACACGAGGCAAACCAGGAAAGGCAGGCGGCTTTGGCTCTGGAAGGTCAAGGTTGGGATAGGGAAGCAGTGCTTGGCGCCTGGACTGCAGGCGGCACCGTGACCTGGCGGGCTAGTTTCCTGCACCCGGAACTCACTGGATACAAAGGGCTGGAAGCCTTCCAACCTTCCTACATAACTGCTTTTCCATAGACAACACTTGCCTGCTGATTTCACAAGCCTACTACAGCCTTCCAGCAGGGACTTCCCCGGGACAGAAATGTTTCCATGTGACTTGGGCCGCTGCCATTTAGGTCTCTGTGATGCTTACAGCCACTTCCTTGAGCTGATTTCAGCTTTACACATTCTGTAGGTCCTGACACAGCCAGCCTTCTAGAGTCTCTTGTCCTCCAGCCCAAGACTTCCTAATGAAACCACTGACTCCAAGTTCTCTTTTTTTTTTTCAGAACCGGGGTTTGAACTCAGGCCCTTGCACTTGCCAGAGAAGTGCTTATTCCACTGAGCCATCTCCCGGGCCCCTCTCTTTTTTAAAGTATAACATTCAATTTATTATTTCTTTCTCAAGAGCATTTTCTTCAGTCCTTTAAGACCCAGCTCCCAGGGCTGGGAAGATGGCTCAGTAGAATAAGCGCTTGCCTGGCAAGTGCAAGGGCCTGAGTTCAATCCCCGGTTTGGCGGCAGTAGTGGGGGGAGACCCAGCTCCCCTTACATGGGCTTTGGCGGAGGTCATGGGGCAGCACCAGCAGGTCTAAATCAGAGCGCAGGTATTCGGTCCTTGCGGGCTTCACGAGATCAATATCCCTGATGGCGGCGGCCTCCCCTATGTTCCGAAAGACAAACTTCTTAATGGCCTTATCCTTGGGCATGAACCAGGTGTTTGTTTTTTTTTTTTTTTTTTTTTTTTTTTTTTTTTTTTTTTTTTTGCAGAACCAGATTGAACTTTGGCCCTTGCTAGGCAAGCATTTATTCCACTGAGCCATCTCCCCGGCCCCCTATGGCCCTTTTTGGCACTCCTGTTGTTCCTTCTTTTTTGGTCATCTTGGAAAAAAGGACCCAAAAGAGCCCAAGTTCTTTGACTTAAAAGTATGTGTGGAAGACCAGCAAAAACACAAACACAATTACAAACGGGCAAACACTGGAAGAGACATTTCTCGGCAGACAGACAACTGAGACACAAAAACGCACCCTATGCCACTCATCACAGAGGAAAAGCAAATGGAAGTGACAGTGAAATGTCTTTCACGCCCATGAGGAGGGCTACTATTAAAAAAACAACAGAATGCCTGTAATCCCAGCCTCCAGGAGGCTGAGGCAGGAGGATCACTGAGTTCAAGCCTGGCCTGGGCTACACAGCAAGACCCTACCTCAAAAAGGAAAATAAAAACAAAGCCAGAAGACAAGCCTGGGCAACCATGAAGGGAGAAGACAGGATGCTTGTGTACTGCTAGCAGGTAAGCAGATCGGCACAGTGGTTCTCAAAAAATGAAAAGCAGAACCATCCCAGGAACCAGCACCTGCAATCTGGGCTTAGACCACAAAGAAGGAAAGCAGGGTCTGTGGAGCTCTGTAAACTCAGGTTCACAGGGTAATTTTTTTTTTTATCCCCAAGGGGGTAAGCGACTGGAGTCCATTGATGGAAGAATGGGTACACGCAGCATCTGTTCATACGATGAAACATTAGTGGGCCCTCAACAGGGGGGTCCGGAGCGTGGCTCAGGGGTCGAGTACTGGCCTGGCACACGCAAGGCGCTGGGTTCAATCCCCAGCACCACACACACATACACACAATTTTGTTGATGGCGCCCCCCACCTCCCTGCATGGAGGTGATCAACCCCTTCTGGCCCATGTGACTGCCTGTCCCCAGTGAACCCCAAGTAGCAAGGAACCTGTCACATCAGTGACTGGCCCTGTGCCACTCAGCAGAGCCTGTTGGCCCGGGCCCTAGATGACCCACAACAGACACGTGGTGTGACCAACAGCCTTTCTGTCACACCACTGAGATCCAAATGATTGTGCTCCCACTGATGGCTGCGTGGGATGGACACAACAGGAAGCGGGGTCCTGGGTCGGCACCCCCCAGGCTGCCCTCTGCTGAGGAACTCGGCAAGAGTGTGTGCGCTGGCACCATCCGCTTCCCTGCTCTTCCGTGGCTGTCCCACAACTGTTCACTGTTCCCTCTCACAGGCACAAGAGGCAGCGGAAATCCCCAGTGCCGCTTCACCATCCTGCGGCGGGGGACATCCAGCTCTGCCAAGCCTGTCTCCTGGGCACTGCAGAGTCCTCAGTTTCCCCAGCTGTCCCTACAGGGGTTCAGGTCACCAAGGCTCCCGGCACCAACCTAGAAATGGGTGTTTACGAGCCCGACTCACAGGGCCTCTGAAGATGGATCTTGCCTTCAGGGTCCAAGTGGAAGTATCAACCTCACCTGAGACCTTCGCAAGATTTTTCTTCCGGTGGTACAGGGCCTTCACACTGAGTTATATCACATTTTTTTTTTTTTTTTTAAATTCTGAAGCAGTCTCACTAAGTCACTACATTGCCCAGCCTGGGCTTAAACATGTAATCCTCCTGCCTCAGCCTCCTAGAGTGCCGAGATTATGAGTTTACACCACCTGCCCAGCCCCAGCTACTGCTTTCTACCACCGGCCTTGGCCTCAGTCTGTCTTGGGGACCCTCACTGTGAGGCAAGGAGCCATCTGTCCAGGGTGCCACAGCCAGTGACAAAAGCACAGCACCCAGACAGTCCATGTCCTTCTCAGGCAAGGGCACGAGGCCAGGGCACTGAGGGCATCAGCAGAACAGGCACGAACGGGAGCTGAACTTTATTACAAACTTGTCACCAAAGCCTTCATCTCCTCCAAGTCCTTGCTCTCTGGACCTCAAGGTGGGCAGAGGCTTCATTCACGCAGAAGGTACCAAGGCTGGCAGGGGCACTCTGGTCCTAGTAGGCAGTCCTCAGGACCTCACCATGGGGCCTGCGGAACCTGGGACTCTGACCACATCAGGGTGGGGCGCGGGCGCTGCCCTGGCAAAGCCTGGAGGGGGATGGGAAATGTGAGGGGATCATGGGGCAGGGGGGAGGGTGGGCAGTGCCCAGGGTGAGGGTCCAAGGGACAATGTGTTAGGCTAAGGGGACTGGGCTTTGTATGCTCTATCCCCATTCTGTCCCCTGGGGGTCTCTGCTGTCCCCAACCATACCAGCCGGGAAGGGCTGGCAGCTGACAGCTTCCGGTGCTGGGCCTCAGAGACCAGGTCAAGGCTCCTGGGGACTGAGCTTCTCTCGGGCTTCGGAGGGGCGATGTCCCAGCCCAGCAGACAGTGCTGTGGGGAGCATGAAGTCAGGGGTGCCCGCCCTGGGGTAGGACTCCCTTCAAGGAAGGGGTGCACCCTGCTCAGGACTGAAGGACCCCCGAGCAACCAACGCCCCCAGACAGGAGTCTGTGTCCATCACGGTCTCCCCAGGGGCTCCCTTTTCAATCCTACCTGGTCCAGTTACCTGGGAATCCACAGAGCTGACACAGGGCAAAGGCTGGTGGGATGGGACCTGTCACCTAAGTACCCGGCACCCTAGGATGGTGCTTTGACACCCTCCATCCACACAAACCAGCTGCTGCTCCTCCACAGGGGCATAGCAGGAGGTCACCCCAACTCGCATACCGCCCAGGCCTATGTACATGGCACCATGAGCTCTGTCCTAAGGCCACCTGCAGGTGGACGGCAACCCCCATGCAGGGAGCAGTCCCAGCACAGGGGAGAGGAGGTAACCCTCCTGGGCCTCCACATGCACCTGGCCCTGCCACGTTCCCATCCAGACCCTGGTACCGCTCACCCGGGGCAGGGCCAGCGTGTCAGAAGCGTTGAAGCTCTTGCGGCGGTGGACACGGTACCGGTGGGGGGCATCCAGGACCGACAGTGGGACGCTCACCCTGTGCAGGGCTGCAGTAAGGCCATGTCCTATGGCTGCCCCCAGGGGGTCCCAGTGTCCCAGCCACCACTCACTGGACCTGCGCAGGCTCTGCTAGGGTTTCAGGGCCCCGCTGGTCCCGCGGGGTCCCACACAAGCGGCAGGGGATGCCAGGGTCCGAGGGAACCAGGAACAGGCGTCGGTTGACACGGTAAGAGTACACGCCTGCAGAGTCACAGCACAGCAGGTCCCCTGAGCACCCAGGCCCAAGCACTCGGGTCCCAACCCCTTCAGACGCAAGCCCACACAGGAAGGACCCCATTCACGCAAAGCTCCCAACTATTCAGGGATTCCCCCAGAGCTTTACCACTCACACTCATGGTCCTTCTCCGCATCCCCACCCTCTCGAGGGCCTTGGAGGCAGGGTCTGCGGGGACAGAGAGGATGAGCGGGTGGGTGCTGGGTCCCTTGGCACTGGGCCCCCAGCCCCCTCGCCTGCCCGGCTCACTCGTGGTGACTGTGGATGCACTCCTCCCGGTGGGCCTCCCGGAACTCCTGCAGCACGGAGAAGAAGGCCTCAGGCTTGCTGCTGACGGGCGAGCTGCTGTCCAGGCACCCTGGTATGGTCAAGGGCAAGGCACCCATGAATGCTGGAGCCAGGGGCTGGGGGCCTGGCCAACACTCAGGGCTCAGGCAGCCCCAGCTCCCAGCCCCCCGCCGTGCCTGCTGGACCCCACACAGACCAGCCAGGGGCTGTCCACTACTGTGACTTGCTGAACCGCCTGCCTGCTCTGCCACACTCACTCACAGGAGCCCCCACCATGGCCAGCTTTACGCATGGAAAAGTACAAAAAGCACAAAGACACTGCAGGATATGTGACAGGTGCTGATGACTTGGTACGCGGGGGACAAGCCAGCATGGCGCGGCACATGCCTATAATCCTAGCACTCAGGAGGCTGAGGCAGGACGACCATCATGAGTTTGAGGCCAGCCTAGGCTATATAGTGAGTTCAAGGCCAGACTGAACTGCACAGTGACAGCCTGTCTCAAAAGGCATATAAATCGATGTGGCAAGGAGAGGGCACAATGCACACATGCACAAGGAGGCTGCGGACAGGCACCACTGTCACTCTAAGGACAGGAGGCAGGGCAATGAGGTTGTCAGAAGTCCCCAAGGGTGTCCCCCCACCACCCCACAGAACACTAGCCCTGGGCACTGCTCAACCTCCCATGCCTCAGTGTCAGCCTTTGTAGAATGGGGAGCCAAACACACCAAGCACACAGCTCCCTTATTCATTCAATGACTGTCTGCCGAGGCCTCAGGGTTGGGAAGCAGGGCAAAGACAGAGCAGCCAGACCCTGCTCTGAGGCTGCTGCTCCCCAAGAGGAGGATGAGAAGCAAACAGTTCTGGGAATGTTATGAAGAATCCTGGCTGGCACCACAGGCAGCAGCGTGGGGTGGCGGCCCTGTGACACTGTGTTCAGAGAGGACCTGGCACCAGACCTCAGCCTTGCGTGATGATAGAGATCAACAAAGCCACTGAGGCCAGAACAGAGCGGGCAACTGACCTCAGGCACCCTGAGGTCAGGATGAGGCACAAGGGGGTGACACGATCTGAGTGTCACAGTTAACTCCTTCATAGCCAGGGTGGTGGTACCTGCCTGTAATCCCAGAGCTCAGGAGGCTGAGGCAGGAAGATCCCCACAAGTTGGAGGCCAGCCTGGGCTACACTGTGAGGCTCTGTCTCAAACAACCAAACATTATGGCCACTGGGTCGAAAGAGCGCCATGCACACCCACGTTCACCACAGCGCGACTCACAGCAGCCAAGACTTAGAAAGGTGCCAAGGGAAAGAACAGAGCAAGGCTCTGTGTCTCCACCCACCGACGGTGAGTGAATGAAACCACACGGGCTACTACCAGCAGCTTCTCGGGGACCCCACACGAGTGGCGGAAGTCAGGGAAAGACAACTCTGTGTGAGCCCACTTCTCAGAGCTGCCTCGGTGGGCACCTTCCCAGAGGGAAAGGTCAGAGGCTGAAGGGCACCAGGTTTTAGTTCTGCAAGACAAGGAAGTTCTAGAAGGGACAGACAGATGGTAACACAACAGTATGGCATACTTTTTTTTTTCTTTTTAGACAGTCTTACTATATAGCCTAGGCTGGAGTAAAACTCAAGAGATCCTCCTGGCTCAGCCTCCATCAGCCTCCCAAGTGCGAAGGCACCACCATGGCCAGCTGCATCATGCTTAAAGGCTACCACACTGTGCTTTTTGATGTTGTTGTTATTTGTATTTTAGGGAAGGGCGTACAGCGTGTTCAGGGTCTCACTACTAGACTGGACTTGTAGTGATCCGCCTGTTTACAGACTTCCAAGAGCTGGGATTACAGGTGCACGCCACCATGCCCAGTCTCAACTGCAGTCTCAGTGTGCCCCGTGGGTGAGGCCAGCACAGCAGGCCTGGGAATGAAACCCCTGGTCCCTGCGCCTGCTTGCAGGCCCTTTAATCCATTGAGCTATTTAGCCAGCCCCTTTTTTTTTTTTTTTTTTTT